TTATTTATTTATTTTTAAAACTATACTTATTGAATTTTTATACATTATTTTTAAAATATAAAAATTATAATATTGTGTCCTATATTTCCAATAATTAACATGTCTCGTGTCCGTGTCGTGTCGTATCCGTGTCGCTGTGTTCGTGTCTGTGCATAATAGGTTATGAAGTGATACTAATGTTTCTCAAAATCAATTTTGATTCATGTTGTGTAGGTCTACTATGGAACCTATATATTTATTGGGAGGTTTAATGGAGAAGTATATAGAGAAAAAGGAGGATTTACATATGATATTTATTGATTTAGAGAAAGCATAAAATAAAGTTCCAAGAGAAGTGCTATGGAGAGCTCTAGAAAAAAGGGGTTAATAATGCTTATATTCAAGTAATTAAGGATATGTAAGCAAGAGATGTTATTGGTGTTCAAACACAATGTGTTTGGATAACATCAAGGATTAGTTTTAAGCCCATAACTTTTTTGCTTTACTTATGAATGTTCTTACTAGACATTTGCAAGAGAATGTACACTGTTGTATGTTTTTTGTTGATGATATTCTTCTAGTTGATAAGACTAGGGAGAGAGTTGAAGGTAAACTTGAATTATGGAGGTCAATATTAGAGCTTAAAGGTTTTCATTTGACTAAATCTAAAATAGAATAATAGTGTAATTTTATAAATAATAGATCTATTGCGAGGATAGTGACTTTGGGCAATCAAGTCATTAATAAGAGTACATATTTTAGATATCTTGGGAATATTATTCAGAGTAATTGTAAAATAAATGGGGATATTATTAGTAGGATTCAAGGTTTAAGATTGAGTAAATAAGCCTCGAGGTGTTTTTCGTCCGTGAGGCGAGGCGTAAGCCTGAGGCGGTGTGAGGCGTAAGCCTCACGGACGAAGAATTGCGTAAATGAGAATTTAAAGGTTATAGCAGATAAATAATAATAAGATTCTATCATACAATAAAAATATCTAAATGACAAGTGAAATTAGTGGAAAGTAAAAAAATATATGCAATAAAATCATATTCCAAAGTACATAATCATAAAATATTAGTCTATCAAAACTCTCAAAGTACAAATAAAAAAGAACATATAAAATCCAATCATGTTCCATCACTAAATGGGTCTTCAAGGGAATCTTTTTCTCCAATTGTATTTATGAATGTCATATCTTCATCATCTTCAATGTGACTCACTTTTCTCTTCTCTATTCAATAAGAATGATGATTATCATATTAATTGCTCACTTGATATAAATATAATGTAATAGCATATAAAAAGTTGTGTAATATCTTTATTTGGTTGTTGTGCTGCATAACTAGTGGATGTGTGTGTTGTGGTAGTAGTGGATATGCCACTTGATCTGTTTCGCCCCTCAAGACATCCACACTTAGATCCTCTAGTTGCAAGTCTGTAATGGTAAATCTATCTCATCATCTATGAACCACTCATTATCAAATGCCACATCATCACACACCAACGGGTCCTCATCATCCTTCAACCCCTTGTTCCTCAACCTCCTTTCTCTCAACCTCTTGTTGTGCATAAAATACACAAGGGAGTTCATTTTGAGTGTTGAAAGTCGATTTCTTTTCTTGTTTGCACTTGACAATATATACTCCAGTTTCGCTCACACTCAGAAAAAGAACAAGTGAGGCCCAAAACTCTAACAGCAAAACTCTGTAAATCATGAATTGAATCACAAAATTGGATCTTCCATTCAACTATTTTCAAAAAGAAAAATGATAATCATAACATATTAAAGTGTTATGCATTTACAAAAATAAGTATACCTGGAGACCGCTTGACAATAGTTGATTTTGCTGCTTACAAACCAAAAAATCCCTCCCTATTCCGAAATAAAACAAGTTGTAAATCTGCAAGCTCCCTGACGGTTTGGCCTGGTATTACTCGTTCCATGCAATGATACAAGTAAGCTTCACCTCCGAGTTTGAGGATTTTCACTCTGAATATTAAAATTGAGGATTGAGATAATACGCTACTGCATGTAGATGACGATGTAACTGAACCTCTCATCGAGCATTAATGATATCCCAAATCTCTCTATAACTTGCCTCCTCTCCTCCCAAGTTATGTGCAATCAACTCCTTGACCTAATCCATAGCATTATAAATAAAATTCATGGTTGGTTTCTTCTCGGCATTCACTAAATGTAGAACTTGTATCAAGGGTCTCGTGCTCAATATGGCATAGGTCAGAATAGCCCAAAATTTATCATTTAGAATTAGCCTTCTTATGTTCTTCCCCTCAGTTTTCTTCCCCCACGCAGAATTAAGCCATTGTGTTGATGTAAACATTGCTTCAAGAGGTTGTCTTACATCCAGCAGGCTCTGTAGTGTTAAATAAGATATGGCAAACCTGTAAAATAAATTTGCATTAGGAATTGAAAATGATTTGCAGTGAACAAACGTAATAACGAACCCAGTGGTTACAGGGCGAATGATTTCCTTCTTCGAAAAATTTATCAATAAGGCTAAGATCCATGAGTGATTGTATATAAACTTTGTGATCTTCTTAGCCCTAGAAAGAGCGCTCTTGTGTTGAGGTAAATCACCAAGTTCCTCCAATATGAGATTGATAGTGCTGCGTAGGGGGTCCAATACAGGTGTTTCCTCTTCTCCATCAACATTTAACCATCTACTTTATATGTACTGGCATTTTCAATCACCACCTGAACAACCAATTGCTCCCCAATCTCTTCAACAACCCCATCTAGTAAATTGAAAATAAATTCAGCATTTTTAACTTCATCTGAAGCTTCAACTGATCGTAAAAATACTATGCTGTAGGGATTGTTGACAAAAATATTAATCAAGCTCCTGCTCTTCATGTCAGACCATCCATCTGACATAATGGAAACACTAGTCTCAATCCATGTCCGTTTAATCTCATCAATGCTCTGCTCTATGTTCTGCAGCTCCTTCAAAATCCATGTTCGCAACTCGTACATAAAAGGTGCTTTCAACCCTCTCCCATACAACCTTACAGACCACAACATATTGAAGTAAGCCGGCGATGTCGCACCATTAAATGGTATGGCATTCTAAAAAAGATTTATGCTAATATCCATGCAAACCTATCGTCGACCATCTCTGGTACCAGCAGCAGGTATCATCTGTGCTTGTCCTCTATCCTCTCCTGGATTAATTATATACTGGTCCATAGGATCTCGTGCACCTCTTTATGTATAGTGGAGGAAGAGCCCTTTCCACTCTCGCTCCCGAGATAAGCACCATGTTCAACCCTTTCATCAAATTGCTCTTGTTGTAAATGTTTGGCCGTCGTACTCTTTTTCATATAAGTTGTAATTTCCTCCACGTTACCCGGAACATTCGCACAAGGTGCAACATTTTTATATGAGCTAGATAAGTGTTCCTTTATGCGAGTTACTCCTCCCTTCACCACCTTATCACAAAAATTGCATTTTAAATACAAATGTCTTCTCGCCGCCTCCTACATCAACTTGCACATTATATTTCCAAGAAGGGTCACGCCGCAATGACGTATTTGTTTTTTCCTTGCCTCTAAACCATGTTTCTTAATGCAAAAATTCGAAAACAAACAAAAAATCAAAAACCCTAGATTTTCTTTCACTTGAAAATCTTTCATTTAACTAAAAAAAATTACCTAAAATTGGTTGTGGACTTCTAGAGGGCGGCCGGACACTTCAAGATCGCCAGAGTGAGGCGACGCCGGCGGGAGAGGCGGCGGGAAGGGAGGCCGAGCATCGTTCGAAAGAGCTTGCGGCCTACGGCTTTTTTTTCCACTCGGGTTCAGGTATGGCTGATAGGAGAGGGGAGGAAAGAAGTATTATTTCATTTAGACTTAGGTGAGTGGGTCCCGGTTATTAGAGGCGTGCGCCTCACACTGAATTGCGCAATTCAGCCTCAGAAGCGCGCCTCACAGTGAACGAGGCGTACGCCTCATGAAGATCCAAAAAAGCTTAAGCAATGAGGCGATTTTGCCCAGAATTGCGCAGAGGCACGCCTTGAGGCGCCCTTCTGATTGCGCAATTTTAAACTATGGTAGGATTCAAGTTGGATGGCTGAAGTGGAGGAATGCATTGGGCATGTTGTGTGATAGAAAAGTACCCCTCAAACTTAAGGGAAAAATTATATAAGATGGTGGTGAGACCTGCAATGATTTATAGCGCAAAATATTGGCCATTAAAAGATTAGCATAAAATTAACTTAAGTATTGTATAAATAAAGATGCTCAACTAGATGGGTGGCTTTACTCTTAGAGACATAATACAAAATGAGTATACACGTGAAAGGGTTGAAGTAGCTGCAACGAAAAATAAGATTAGAGAGAATCGCCTTAGATGGTTTGGTCATATAAAATGTCGGCCTTCCGATAACGAGTTAGAAGAGTAGATGTATTAGATTTAACTTATATTAAGAAAGGTAGAGGTAGACCTAAAAAGCCTTGCTTAGAAAATATTAAAAATAACTTTTTTATTAGATTTAAATGAAAATTTGACTCTTAACCAACACCATGGAGAAAAAAATTCATGTAGCCGACCCCTCGTAATGGGATAAAGGCTTAATATTGTTTGTTATTTTTATAGTTTTATTTTTTTTTATAGGCATTTGAGTTAATAGATTATTTCCCATAGAATTTCAAACTATCTTTCTCTCTCTCCATTCTCACACAGGTTCTCAAGTCGAACCCCCAGAACTCGTCGGCTAGTAAGGTCTATTATGAGCCACAAACAAACTTGAATCGAACAGATTGCACAGGACCTATGAAGGATTCTATATTGATCCACTTAGTAGATCTATACTTTTTAATTTAAACTAGCAGAAACACGACAAAGTGAAATCCCTTATACAAGATTTTACTTCTAAGCTAATTTTTTCAACCACCACTTCCCCCTCCCCTTGGATTTTTCCTCCCCTCCTACCCTATAGGAAAATAGAAGAAAAGGCCACATCATTTAAACAAATGTGCACAACAAAAAGAAAATTCTATACCTTCCCTTTGGGTTTGAACCTTTGCGAAACCAAAGAAGAATTGTATCCTCAGCCAATACATCTTGATCATAAAGGGATCTAATAATTTCTGGGAATATCTTCATCAGTTTGGCATCCTCATAACATTGGACCTGAACTTTGTAAATAAGTTCAAGTTCCAACTTCCCACTTGTACAAAAAGCATTTAAAAGTTCAGCCCACGTTTTAACCTGTATAATAAGAAAACAAGTGGTTAGAAGTATAATTTAAACTTATTTTCTGGTCAAACTAGGAAAGAAGATGTAAATGATGTCAAGTTCTCCGGACAACAAGAGATGTACCCACATATACGTAACCAAAAAATTTTTACTCTTTCAAAGTCGTAATATGATTTATGAACAAACGTTTCATAGCATGTCAGTGAGCATCCTTCTTTTTTCTTGCATGAGATTGATCATCCCAATTGAAACTAAAAGCGCGATGACTATTTAACAATTTATTTTAACTCATGAACATCTTCAACAAGGGGATCTGATAAATACTGTGCAAAAAGATTTCCAAGGCATGTCCAACCATCAAGCAATTAAAAAGCATATGAATAAATCCAGTGCTTCAAGTAAAGGTAGTTAAATTGTTTAAATCAGGAGTATTATGCACAAAATGGCCATCATGCGATCCAGGAAAGGGTTTAGCTGGCAAGAAACATGGCATAGCTAACCTGACGTAGTGCCGCATTAGCATTCTGTTGCTGGTTCTTTCCAGACCACTGAACTGCATCCATTAGTACATCCCACAGCAAGCGGACAACCTCAATATCAGGCATATTAGAATCCCTAACTTGCAGCTTCATGGCCTCTATAACTTCAGAAATATCAGTCTCCTCTTCAATTTGTGTTTTCAATGCTGACTTCATCTCCTTTAGCTTGACATCAAAAATTTTTTTTTGATTGTATTCAACAAGAGAAGACAGTCCTTCTTTCCTGAAATGTATAAATAAACTCAGGAAACTTTGCGAAGCAGAAAGACAAATAGCCACAAGAGAAGGAGATAACAAAAACCCTTTTATGCTTCTTGTTATTAACAAACACAAACTTTATTACTGATACTATTAAGATACTTTAATATGTATTTATCATCATAAAAATTTTTACATTGTCAAGATGTATCTGTACGAAGATTTCTATAAGCACTGCAGATTACAGGAAATTGTAAGCAAACAGAAACATTGAATAAATGCTAACTAATGGAGGGGGAAGAGGGAGGAGAAAACAGAGAAATCGCCATACACAACTTGAAGACAGGGAGAAAGAACACCATGGGCAAGAGACAGAAAATTCAATTGATCTCACATCCTCACTAATATTTTTTATTCATCAATAATCAATAATCAATAATGACATGAATCAATAATCAATAATCAATAATCAATTATCTATTATAAGCCATCAATCCCGATTTATAAAAATGGGATTATAAGGATAAGGTCAATTAGTTAGAATTGAATTTAATCCTATCCCCGGTCAAACTTTATCCTACCAAACATTCAAATTCAACCCCAATATTACCAAAAGAAGAAAATTCAGCCCAAAATAATAAATTAAATAAAAAATAAAATAAAAAATCAACCATAATTAAATATGGTTTCAAAAAAGGCTTGAAAATGATTTAGTTCACCTTTGCAGCGTAGTTTACCTTCTCTTGATTGATTGAAAAAATTGTCTTTCTTTACTAAATTAGTTGAATTGTACAATATCAATTTCTCCAACCAAGAAAGACCTCTTCCCTAGATAAGTTTGTTTGTTGTAGACATGGTGGCGGGGACACTAAAACTAGATTGCCTAATAGAGTGTCCAAGCAATAAAGCAAACTCATTCTTTAATAGGAGTGATTTAAGAAAGATGTAATAATCTAAATTAGCATATAACTCTAAGATAATGATAGATGAACCAGAGAAAAATCTTTAACGATATCTGCATAAAACACTATTCCTTACTAAACAATATTCTCAGGCACTTCATTGAACAAAAAATTTAGCTCAACCTCTAATGATATATTAGCATCAACCTTATACACAGTCATAAAGTTAGGTGTTGATAGCTCATAATTATCTTGTTCATAATTATAAAAAAAGATAGTATAATCATAAATATCTTCATAACGACCATCAGCGAGGAATCTATCATCATAAAAATCATCATAAGAATCATCATCAGAGAGAGATTTATCATCATAAGAATATTCATGAGAACCAATATCACAGAGAGAAACATCATCTAGTTTTGGCACGTACTGTTAAATTGAAAAAGATTTTAAGATTTGTGAGGTCAAAGGAATTTGTGAAACCTGTATAATGGATTTCATGGAAATAAGTGAAGTGTACATTTGAGAAGGTTTACCACATTGCATAACCCACTGAATACTTAATTAAAACCAATTCAAGGCTTTTCATAGCATGCATCATCAAAGTAGATGAGTAATAGGAATCATAATAGCATTCTATAAGTAGGTGACGAGATCTGAAAAAGATAAGACAAAGAATAATGAAGACTATGCCAGTTACATATTGATGACCTTTTTATACCATTATATGATGCCTTTAAAGCTTTAGAAGTCGGTGGAGAGAGACTTCTAAGAGTTTCAGTTGAAAATTCCCAATGCAGAGAGAAAGATAGCACAATTCTCGAAGCTCAAGGTTCCATTCAATGATAGAAGAAATCATCAACAATGCTGTCCCCAAGGGAAATCAAGTGGTGAGTCTCCATCAGATGATCTTTGAAGAGAATAAGAAAGATCAACAACATTGACATAGCAAGGGGTCATTCCAGGCAAAGATGTGCGGTGAGATTTTTGCAGCTGGGAGCACAACAAGGCAAATGGTGGGTTTGGGAGAAGAACCAAGAGAGGTGAATGTGTAGGAAGTGGGGTTTGAAGTTAAGATAAATATGTGGGTAAACTACAAAGACGTTGGGTGGAGGGTAGCAGCATAAGGTCATGCAGTTTGGCAAGAAGAGTATAGAAGTAGAAGATTACAGTAAATCAAGATATTAGTACAAGATTACGGTGAATCAAGATCCATAACGTTAAGCAAGTTCCAAGTCAAGGAATGAGAGAAATAATAATCTGCGGATTGTGATAGTGAGAGTTTCACAAATAGGATTTGTTAGATATTGGTTCTTATTTAACATGTTATTCAATTTTTAGTTAAATTCTTTGATTTAGGTTATTTTACCTTTTTGCCCCATTGGGTTATTTAGTATAAATAGGGGTGACTTGTATTGTTTGAAGATAAATGAATGTGAATGAATAAAAATCATTTCTGTTTTCCCCCTTCTAAGACAAACCTATGAGCAATAATCCAAGAGAGCGGTTGGCTCTCGGTCTAGGCAAGGAAGACAGCTAAGGTGGAGGCTATTCTCGCAGCAAAGCAGGAGAACTGAGCGGCAGAACAGGAGAACTGGGCAGCTATTCTTGCGGCAGAAGTAGGAAGGGATGCTGGCTAACCGAGAACTGTATATGGCTGGTTGCTATGGACGGTGCCAAGGGAGGAGAAGAATGAACTAATTCAATTGTTGGTGGATTCAATTCAAAACAGTAAGATAGCATTCAAGATATCTCTTCCTCCAAGGATTATATTAAACAAGTGATATCAGAGCTTGGTCAAGAAAGATCAAGGGGAATGAGGAAGGTGTTTATTGAAATCAAGAAAAAGAAATTCCAGCCAAGAGGTGGAGTTTCTTTGTTGTTCTTTGTGGAAAGCAACAGGAGGAGAAGAGGCAATTGGCGGGGAAGACATTTCCTAGGCTACTCTTTGTGCAAAGCAGGTGGAGGAGAAAAGGCAACCCATAGGGAAGACCTTTCTTGGGTTGTTTTTTGTGTACAACAGGTGGAGGATAAGAAGGACCAGTGGTGGAACTATTCTAAGCTATTTTTCTGCAGACATTAGGTTGTTTTTGTAGACAGCAAGCAGGGGAGAAGCTTTTTTTGTGGATAGCAGGTGGAAAAAATTTTTATTAGTTGATCTCTGTGAATAGGAGGTGGAAGATTCTTTGGGTTATTCTTTGTGGATAGCAGCTGGAGGAGAGCAAGTGGTAGGCGGTGGAAGCCTTTCCTGGAATATTTTCTGTGGAAAGCAAATGGGTTGATTTCTGTGGAAAGCAGCTGGATTGGAGGCCTACTAAAGTTTTCTTGAAGGAATGATGTCTATGGCTAAGCTTGAAATTGAGAAATTAGAAATAGAAATGTTGGACAGCCATCTTGAAGGTGTTGCTGCTGCTGAAAATAAAGAAATCAAGGAATCCATCGAGGAGTTGCAAGGGAGGAATTATGGGCTGGCTAGAGACAGATCTCAGCGTGTAAACAAGGTTCCTCAAAAGTATAAATTTGCTGATGTGATTTCTTATGCTTTATTAGCAGATTCTATGCAATGTGATGAACCTACCTCATACAAGGAAGCAATGAGGTGTGAGGAGAGAAGTGAATGGAAACTTTCTATGGAAGAGGAAATGGCCTCTTTAAGGAAGAATCACACTTGGGACTTGGTGGAGAAACAAAGAGAGAAGAAGCTAGTCACTTGTAGGTGGAAATTCAAAATAACAGAAGGGGTTCGTATGCATACAAGGGTAGGCTTGTAGCAAGGAGATTCACTCAACAAAAGGGGTGGACTATGAAAGAAATCTTCTCACCAGTTCAAAAGTACACATCAATTCGTGTGCTCCTTTCTTTGGTTGTCCAAATGGACATGAATCTTAAGAAATTGAGAGGAAGGGGAGCCGAGGTCAGTGTTATCCCAAGGCTCCTACATTGATAGTGTGGTGAAAAGATACAACATGGATTTGTCAAAATCAGTTTCTACTTCTTTTGCCTCTCATTTCAAGCTTAGCAAGGATCAAAGTCCCAAAGAGAAAGAAGAAAAGGCATACATGAGCAAGATTCATTATCAGAATGCCATGGGAAGCATCGTATATGTTATGGTTTGCAAACTGGTAAAGATTCTTTATGACAAACAAAGTGTTGTGTTCTTATCTAAGAGCCTATGGTTCATGAAAGGACTAAACACATAGACGTCAAGTTTCACTTTCACAAAGAAATTGTGTCAAATGATATGGTGGAGATTATGAATGTATCTATAGAATATAATGCATCTGATGTGTTGACCAAAGCTCTTCCAAATCATAAGTTTCAGCATTGCTTAAACTTGTTGAGGGTAAGGGAAAAATCCTAGCATTGGATAATTATCACATTTCTAATCAAGAGCCAAGGTGGAGATTGTTAAATATTGGTTCTTATTTGACATGTTATTCTATTTTTAGTTTAAGTCTTTATTTTAGGCTACTTTATCTTTTTGACCCCTTGGGTTGTTGTAGTATAATAGGGGTGACTTGTACTGTTTGAAAGTGAATGAATAAAATTCAATTTTTCCCCTTCAAAGAAAACCTGTGAGCTCTCTCACAGTGCAGTCATCCAAGAGAGCAGTTGGCTCTCGATCCAGGCAACAAAGACAGTTGTAGTGGAAGCTGTTCTTGCAATAAAGCAGGAGAACTGGGCCCCAGAACAAGAGAACTGGGCAGTTGTTCTTGCGGTAGAAGTAGGCAGGGAGGTTCGCTAACCAAGAATTGCAGCTGGCTGGTAATTGTGGACAAGGCCAAGGGAGGAGAAGACTGTGCTGATTGAATTGGTGTTGGATTAAATTCAAATAGCAAGATAGCATTCAAGATCTCTCTTCCTCCAAGATTTGTTTTTTAACAGGATTTACAAGGAAAATATGGCTTTTTCTATTTTGGCAAGGAAAGCACATATTACAAGGGTTCGTGATGATGCAATTAGCAAAGGCACAAAAAGGTGGCTCATTGAACAAAAAATAAAGAAAAATGAAAAATTCTAATATCAATATCGATGGAGTGAGAAGAGGAAAGATAAATGCTAAACTTCGTGTACATTGTTTGGAGATAGGGAGTACTACGCATATAGAACTTGAAACAAG